TCTCTGGCCATCTGTCAAATCTCTGGTAATCTGTCATATTTGTCGCCTGGCTGTGGAGCCAGCTGCATTACTCAGGGTCAGAGGCAGAAATGTGGCAAACATTTGAGCAAGCGCCAGCAAATACGGGCAGAGGGTTAGCCGGACGGAGAGCTATGCGTATGTGATAGATGCAATCAGAATGATGCCACTTTGGAGTAGCAACAATACAAATTACAAATTTACACGCGAAACACAATGCAGCAACCACGCCCACCTCTGCCGCGCCTCGACTATTTCCTGGGAATTGGCAGACGACATTTAGTTGTTGTGATATGCAAACGTAATGAGCTATGATTATGGCCAAAGTGCAATTAGTAATTGAATCATTATACATATATTTTGATTGCCTAATAGCATTTGTGGTGGCAGGAGAGATGGGGGGAAGAAGAAGACGCAGCAGCAAGGCAAACATATCTCGATGCAAATTCAATTTAAGGCCGCGCCTCGAAAGCTGTTCGTAAAAATGATTTTCAAGAAATCTGAATCTGACGACGACAAAGTTCAATGAACGGGCAACAGGAGCTGCCAAAGGAGTTTCAAGACCAGAGAGAGAGAGGGGGCGGGGCGTGACGAAGGCAGACGTAGCAAGTCGACGAGGGCCGCAGGCAACGACTGCTCGTTTGTGGAATGTGATGGAACAGTTTATGAATTGAATAAACCGGAGCCAAGGTGATGAGTTATTCAAAAAGCATGTGCAAAATGTCAGAAGAAATCAAATGAGATTAAAAAATGCAAAATAATATAATAAAATGGAATGAGACGAAAACGAGCAAACGACCAACCGACAGAGTTGATGTGCAGTGGGCGGGGCGTGGGCGGTGGCTTGAAAAGGGCTAAAAACACAAATGTTTGCAATGGATGGAAAATAAGGGGCAGCTGTGACCGTTAGTTTGGCCCCAGGCAAGGACCGGGCAACCGTTCAAATGTGAAGCCAAGTTGAGAACTTAACAAATGCCAAAAATAAAGTTAAAATAAAAACGAAAAGCGAAAAACGAGAAACGAGAATGAGCAGAGAAATCGCAATTTGAACTTTTCGTTCGTTTCCATTTTGGCAGCTGGCGTTTTTTTTTTTTTTTTTTTGCGTCAAGCGGACATTGGTGTCTGATTAGATTTGGGCCATAGGCACGCCCCTGCGCCTCGCCTATGCCCCAGTCAACACTTGAGCACGAAACGTGAGCGTTGCAGCCACCTGAAAAAAAAACTGTGCGCCAATGAGACCGAAAAAAATGTAATTTCCAATTGTGTGCAACAAGAGCGTACATGACTATTATGTGCATACCCTGTAAACGTGTGAGAATAGGGTATGCTGCAGGGCTAAGATATAACTATAAATATAGGGATATAGGATATGAATGTATATGACCTACTCTTGATAGCTTTATAATCTCTGTGAAGTCGGATACTATTAGGCTAATTACAAATAGGATTTAGTATATGAATTTGTGTAGGAGATATGTTAAAGGAAATAAATTTTAAATTCTATACAGTCTTATATACTAAATTGACTACTTTTTCTTAGCAATCTAAAGGGATTTCATAGCTAGTTACTCTAAGAACTTCTTAAATATCCTCAGTCTAACAGTCTCTGAGAGCGGTATACCTAGGTATATCAGACATTTCGAAACAGACACAAATAACCTTTAAAGCCATATAGCATAGTCATATAACATAATATATATAATCAGAACAACCCACTGAAAATCCATCTCGATTCCCTCACTCTCTTGGCCTATCTAGTTCTGTATATAACAAACGTTTACAGGGTATCTTTTAGCCCAGCACTCATCTCTCTCACTCCTGCTTTATTTTCTGAAATCAATCTAAAGACTAGCAACGATTTGCTACACTTTTCACATTGCGTGCACAAATTGTCCAGCACAAATTGATGAGCCCTACAGCTAGAGGCCTAGCGGGGTCTACACAGCACAGGCCGACAACCAAAAAGGGCCTTCGGTTCCCCTTCAGCTGCGAACAAAGCAAAGTACCACAACAATCTTTCAGTGTAGGATTTCATCTTTTGTCTGTAAGTCTGTCTGTCTGTCCGTCTGACTGACTGACGATTGTCTCTGCTCTTGTTGCCTGGGTAATTATCATTTAGTTATGGCACTTTTTGTTTCACTGCAACTCTTAAGAATCCACTTTAAGTTGATACTGGCTGCTGCTGCTGGCTATACGAGTGCCGGCAGAGCAACTGCGACACGCACATGATAAATGATTTTCCATTAACTGCCATTGAAAAGCAAGAGAAAATATAAGGAAGGGCGTTGAGCGGCGAGCAGAGCGCAGGATAAAGCCAAAAACCATAGAAAACACAACTCGAGCACATGCTGTGCGAGTGTGTGTGTGTGTGTGGCATATGTGTCTCTATCTGTGTGTGTGTGTGTGTGTGCTGCAATGTGCTTGCATTTGTCATCCATCATCAACGAAGGCAGCGGCATTCTCTAGCTCACTCTCTCTCTCTCTTTCCCTCTCTCTCTCTCTTTTATCAACTGTCTACATCAGCATTATTTGTCTTAGTTTTTCAACGATTTTTCTACAATTTTTCTTATGTGTTCTTTTTTCACATAGAGTGAAGGCAACCAAAGAATTTATTTAACCCAATTTGAAACTGAATTTTCTTTAAAAGAAAATTAAGCCAGCGACTCGCTTGCCTTTTGTAAATTGAAGCTGCCACAAATAATAATAGAAGACAAACCAGAACAGAGTGGAACAGACGAGCGATGTTTGATTTGTTTTCCTCTCTCTCTCTCTCTCTTCAATTTGATGGATGACCATAAAATATTAATGTGCCGGCCGTAAATGCGACTGTGTGTGTGTGTGTGTTGATGCTCGATTTCCTCTTTTGATTTGACTTTGACGTCAAGGTCTTCCCATTTACAGTCAACCACTAAATGGCGCAGTTTTTGAGGGAATATTGAATGCGAATTGATAAGAAGAAAAATAGAATTTAGTACATACCTCCATATTAAGTTTAGATAAACAGTATATGCTTTTATATGTCATAAATTTGATAAATGATATTCTAATACTTTGTGGTATGTTATTATCAATAAGTTGATATTAAATCAAAATTTTGGAGTCTAGATTTGCTTATAAATATGTATTTCAGATAGTAAAATCCTATCTTCAACTTAGTTTACTTCAAATTTGACTCTTTGCTCTTCATAAACTATGCATTTAACTTAAACATGAAAATTAAAAACTTCTTCGTAACTTAAAGTTAAGTCCCATTTTATATCACAGTTCAAAGCCTCAATTATTTGCTTTTTCTCATTTTTTGGGGCATTCCTGGAGTATTTTCAGAACATAATCCATCAATCACAAAGCCCACAACCTTCTTCAACTCAGCCGCTTTCAAACTTAAATTGAAGGCTACAAAATAAATTTCTTAAGACGTGATTACGGTGCTGCTTTAAGCACTTGAATGCTTAAGCGTTGTCTGGGCACATTTTAGCATAATACCCTATATATAGCGTACACAATGTTGCTTCGCTTTGTATAATCAACTCATTATCATTAAGCGGCCGACAGTTGGGCCCGTTTTGGCTATTAGACATGCAAATGACCGGGCCAAAGCGCCCAAATGTAGACTAGCGAAAAAAGACGCACGTGCTGTGCGCTGGAGGCGTCGGGCGAGAATGGGAGCTAAGTGATGAGTCATCTGCACGCTGAGCAATTCAATCCAATTTACAGCAATCTGCCATAATTTCAACGCTTAACGACGATTCCAAAGATTTACGGCGAACAACTTTTCATAGATGAAACAGCAAGGGAAAAAGCAAGGGATAAGTCTAGATAAAGAGAGGGAGGGAATAGGAGAGGAAGGCTTGGAAACGGTTGACAAGTCTGGTAAAAATAAGATGCTGCGTAATATTTCTCACTTGCTGGCCAAGGCAACCGAAAGAAGAAAAAAATATTTAGAGTGGAAGAAGAAGCACTAGAATAATCATAACAAAAATATTTTTCGGCTGCAATAGACAAAGAGAGAGTGGGCCAGAGAGAGACGGAGATAGATAGATAGACAGAGAGAGAGGGGGAGAGAGTGTGTGTAAATAACTGCAGAGTGAGTCAGACAGACGGCGACAAAAGACGTCGTCGCCCTGGCTCTTTGGCCCAGACATTCGCACTTTTTGGCCATGGCCAATGGCATCATAAAAACTCCAGAGAACTCTGACTGCTAAAAGCCAAGCCAAGCCAAGCAAAGCCAGCATCGTGTTGTTTTTGTCTCAAATAGACGCCGCCGCAGCGGCGGCAGCCAAACACGTTGCACGGCACACGCACTTGCCACAAATTAGATGGCGAGAGCGAAAGAGAGAGAGAGAGTGTGTGTGTCTCGTCTGTCGTTTGACCTTTTTAGCGTTGCTAATTTGCAATGTTCATCAATTTAAGAGAGCGAGAGAGATAGTGAGAGAGAGAGAGAGAGAGACAGAGAGAGTGTAGGAAGAAGCCGCAATGCCTGCATACTTCTAGGCGTTCATAGGCCTCTCACCCAAGTTCAGTGAACTCTCTCTCCCCCCTCTTATTTGTTGCTAGACAAAAACAATCGACATTTGTTGTTTATGTATATGTTAGGGTGTAAGTTTGTGTGTGTGTGTGTGTGTGTGTATGAGTAGCCTTGTTTGTTTGTCGCTCGAGTGGCCTGGCAGCTCGCAGCTTTTTGTGAGGGGTCTATTGTTTCGACGATATTAATGCAAAGTTTAGTTCCCATTACGCTCCACCACTCAGTCGCTTCACTAATGCCGCCTGAGTGGTCGCAAATACATGAAATATCACCGTTATTTACCTAGACTCACTTCTCTTTTCGCTTGCCCGTTTTCTCTGCTGTGTCTGCTTTTTGTGGCTGGCAAAACTTAGCTCAATAAATGGTTTCTCTATCTATTTTTTTTTTTTTATCTCTCACAGAGAGAGTGTACAAACTCAAACTTATATTTTTGTTTCTCTCTACTTCTATCGGTTTACAGGGCCGTCACAGATCCACGCGATGGCCGTCGCGTCGCACTGAAAAAGCTGCCGAATGTGTTCCAATCTCTGGTCTCATCCAAGCGTGTTTTTCGTGAGCTCAAAATGCTTTGCTTTTTCAAGCATGAAAACGTAAGTACTTGAACAACTTTATATATACCTTTATCAACTATAATCATATATATATATATATATATATTAAAATCCATTGTGATATTACAAAGGGGAAGTGAACGAAAAATACAAAAAATTGTCTTGCATTTAATTACGCTTCGCGTTTATGACACGAAATTTAATTAAAAAAAGCAATTCGATTATTTGTGGTGCGGCGACTGCCACTATGCGCACACAATGCAAATATTTTCTGTATTTTTATTTTATTTTTTTGCATGCTCTCGCCCACTCTGTGTGGAATATTGCGTATACGCAGTGGCTGCCCGCTGGCCAATAATAGCCTGTAATGTCAAGGAGCAGGCGGTATTGCCTGACTGCCTGCCTGTGCATGTCACAGCAGCAGCGAGCAGGCAGCAGGCCTGACTTCGTCTGCAGGGTATCTCTTAGTTGCGCATTCGCATTGGACTTTTGCTCTCATGCTATGTGTGCATTTATTAACAATTATATTATTTTTTCCCTGAAAGCCTTCGTTGGCGAGAAATTCGTTTTAACTGCCGCCTTTCCAGTTGAACTTCAGCTCAAAAATTGAAGTTATTATTGTTGGATATTGCTTGTTATTGTTGTTGTTGTTGCTGTCTGTTTGATTGTCAAGCAAGTGTCGTTTATTGGCTGTGTAATTATTGTCATTAATTAAACGTTTCAGATGAGTAGCAATGATATAACTATGAGAACTCGCTTAACAAGCGAAATATATAAATATATTTAAATTAATATATACCTACATATGTGGGCAGACTAACGAGGTTTATTAAATATAAATTATTTTAAATAGAAAAAAAGATAATAAAATTGAAATACAAATCCGCTTAAAATACAAAACAATGTATTTCTTTATTAAACATATAATTATTAAAAAAAAAAGGAATTATTAATAATGCAAATGAGCTTAAAATACAAAAAATTAAAAAATATTATTTTGAAATTGTTATTTATAATAATCTTTTTCTTACAAATGAGTAGTTCACATTTTGTTATATTTAAGTCATTATACATTTTTTTTTAGATTATAATTATTAAAATTATTATGTTTTTATTTTCATTTATATTTTATATATTTATTAATTTGATTATATTTTATTATATTTAAATCAATTTTGTCAAAATTTGACAAAATTTATCCAGATTTAGAGAACTCTAAACTCTCTCACTTCATGAAATTCCGTGGCTAACTTTTTCTGTTGAACAACTTAGGCCTAACTCTGGCCTAACACACACACAGTTTAGCTTCATATATCATGTTTAAGCAGCTCTTCAATCACATTCAATTTGCCAGTCATATTTCATGTTTCGCAAGTTCTCTGGAATATACAAAATTCGATTTCGATCTATATGCTTTGGCTATTGTTTGTCAGACAGTTATAAATCAATCATTTATCATGGCATTAATTAACTCATTCATATTCATTGCAGTTGCTGCTGCTGCTGCTTAAATAAGCAACAACAAATTGCATATTTATGTACATATATTGTTAAGTGACGCCCACAAACAGGCCATGCCCACTTCTCTGACTGCTGCCAGTTTTCCAGTTTGTGAGTTACAAAAGGCTGTCGGGTCCCAAAAAAATTTATGACAAACAAATTTTATGCACAACAAATTGTAAAGAAAAACAGAAAAATAAAAGTTGAGACTACAAACATTTTGTTGCATGCAAATTTGTTAACATAACAGAGCAAGAGAGGGAGGGGAAGAGAGAGAGAGAGGCATGCCACACAAAGCCAAATGGCAGTAAAATGTAAAAGAATTATTATTGTTCATATAACATTTAGAATTATTAATAAAAGAAAAAACTTTAAACTAAAAGAGGGATAAGAGCAATAGGTAAGAGACGGGGCGGGGCAGGGTGCCTCGTTGAGAGCTCGACAGCTGCATTGTGCTGCGATTTTATGGCCAATTTTATGTGACTTTGCGGCGATTTGCTTTAATTTATTTATCTGCATATTTCAGCTCACTTGTGTTTCGAGCACGTGCATTGAGTGATCTCTGATTTTATTATTTGCATACGATATTTATATATATATTTTAACTAACTATACAGTTTTGACACGAAATGTGTAACGCCTGACAGATATATTTGTATAGATAAGGTATATATAGTATACTGATAATAAGTATGCGCTGTTGAGTAGACAGACATTTATTTGCTATGGTAACTAGCTTTAGAATTACTGCCATGAAATTTGGTAAATGTTTTTTCTAGCAGCTAAGGCAACATATATACTTCCTATATATTGACTAGAGTAGAATATTACGAAACATGTATTTCCTATATTTTGAATAGATTAATGTGTAAAGAAACAAACGTTTCCTATATATTGTCTACGAATAGATTCTAGTATAAATACGAAGAACATAAGATGTTCAAATTAAGATTAATATAGATTTATTTTTGGAATCTTTGATCAAGAAGAAGTTAAAATTGATTCCACGGATACAAAATGGCTCAAGTTTTCTAGAACCACTTAAGAGAAGCTATAATAATGGATCTTAGGAACTACCCAAACTTAAAAGTAAAACATTTTTATATCTGACTCCCATATATTTAAATTCTTTTCAGTTTCACTTTCAAAAATTATTAAATCATAATTGATTGACATTTGCCATGGCTAAAATGTCAGATTGAAGTTTGTCTAAAAACGCGCTCAACTTTTTCAGATTTTTATACCCTGAACCCATTGAAAATGGGAAATCAGGGTATAATGGTTTTGTGAAAAGTATGTAACAGGCAGAAGGAATCATCGCAGACCCCATAAAGTATATATATTCTTGATCAGGACGACGAGCTGAGTCGATATAGCCCTGTCCGTCTGTCCGTCCGTCCCTCCGTCCGTCCGTATGAGCAAAAGGATCTCAGAAGTTATAAGAGCTAGAGAGCTGAAATTTGGCATGTATACTCGTGTATATCATAGGCAGTACGAGTTTGCTTTATTTTTTCGATAACTCATCCGATAACATTTTTATCGAGAATAATCGAAAAATCGACATTGTTTTTTCAGCCTAATTTGAACACTTTTCAACCAGGAGACTTCAAATTTACGTTGTATATAGAGTTAATGGTTACAAAGATTTTGTAATTTACAGATTTTGGATACCACGCCCCCTTCGCCCCCAATTTGTAAAAAACGCATTTCAAGTACTAGAGACTTGTGCTTTGGAATGTACACACATTTTAACTATATGAACACATTCTGAAAGTTTCATAAAGATACTTTTACTACAAGAGAAATTATTCAACTAATAAATTATCATAATATTGCCCACATTGCAGCGCAGCCCAAGCGTAGCCGCTGCTTACTGCGCAGTTAGCAGAGCGCGTGCTTATAAGTGCATGTGTATGTATGTGTGCATAGAAGAAGTGCAGAATGATTAGAATATCAGCTTGGAGGGTTCAGGGTATCTCCCAGTCGAGCAGTCTCGACTGGAGCCTTCTTACTTGTTTCATTTGACACACATGATTTTTGCCTTGACTGCAAATGTCAACTGCAACTTTCAGCATTTACCAACACTGTGCAATTCGAGCTGCTCTATTAGGCAAACGAATTGAACGTGGGTGAGCAGCGAGGCAAAGTTGATTATTATTGTAATATTCAAGTCAGACTGTGTTAATTTAGTTAGCTTGTCCAAAACTTATGCAATGCATTCGATTCGATGAAGAGTTGCCCTAATGAAGCGCGCTCTGCCCACACAGATGTCAACACCAGGCAACACCTATGCAAATGTTGTCTTAATATGCAAAGTGCTTTATGGAAAAGAAGAGACAGAGAGAAGGAGAAGACATAGTAGCAAAAGAAATATAAAAGAGGAGCGTCTCGTGCTGTGTCTATTGTTGGTTTCCTGTGGCAATTCCATATTCATTTCCTGCATGCAACGCTGCGACGCGTTGCATATCCAAAGCAAGTGCAATCAACCTGAAATAAGCTAGAGACGACAATGCTGTATTCAATAGGTGAATACGTCATCTGACTCTGCGACTTGCTGTTAAAGCCATTTGCGATGTGGGCTGATATATATATAAGAGATGTAAGAGAGCTCAATAAATGGAGACTTTTCTTTACATATGGAAGTAGATTTAGCTAGAGATAAATTAAAGTATATTGTAATGAAAAAAAAAAGTTTGTTATGGTTTGAGCTTATATTATATGTATATTTATTTATTTACATTCTATTATATTTTTCTGACTTAAATTAAATTAACTTTTATGTTAAACTTATGTTAACTAAGATCAAATGCTTGACAAATTTGTATCTGCTTTTACTTAGAATTCTCAAAGTGTTTACATCAATTTCTATAGCTCCTATATATTGGCAAACTTTTTTAGCATTCTTAAAGCCCTGTCTAACTTAGTTTCGGCCAGAATTTGTTTAAGTTTTAATGGGTTTCCTTTCTTTCTATAGATGCTACATAAATATTTGCACGCTTTTGCTTTTGCTTTTGCGCTTTTCCATAGAAGTTGCTGTGATTCTTTTGGCTGCATAAGTCCTGCCTTTCAGTTTTGTGCTTGCTTCCTGCCAATTGCCAACTCTGGCAACACACACACACACACACGCACACACACACACACACACAGTAACAGCTCTTTGAGTGACAGCGCAGGCACTGGCAATCGTCTCAATTGCTTTGGCATTATATGGCGCAGAATACCAAATATATGTATGTGTGTGTGTGTCTGTGTGTTTGCTCTGCAGTGCATTATATATATATGTGTGTGTGTGTGTAAGTGATTGTGTGCCTTATACATTTTAACAAATCGCTGCAAAATGTTTGCCCCATTATGCATTGTTGCTTATTTCAATTGCGAATTTCAATAAAAGATTTTGCAACGTACGTGGCGCACATTTCAAAAGCATTTCTCACATGCAGCAGCCGAAGACGACGACGACGACGACGTCGGCGACGATAAAGTGTATGCCTGCCACACCCCCCACCCTACCGCCGTTGCAGCTGCTGCAAATGATTGAGTTTGACTTGAAGTTTTTGATGCCTGGCATCAATTGCATGCAAATTTCTGTTGTTGTTATCATTTCGAGGCGCTACACAAATTGCAATTGAAATATCAATTGAACCTTATAGATATATGTTTATATATACCAAATACATATATATCTAATACATATACAGCATACAATTTACTTTGTGGCACAAATCCCACGCTAGATCTTTTTAGCTGGAAGAGCTTTACAGCACAGCTTCAACTCGGCTCAAGGTTGAAACAGGCACAAAGCAAAGCAGCTGATGAAATTGTTTTACAAAAATCTGTGGCGTTTTAATTAGTCAGCAACAAGAACAACAACGACAGCAACAATTACAACAACTGGAAATGTCAGCAGCTGCTGTAACAATTATTTAGCTAGAATTTTGGCTTGGAATGAAAATGTCGCTAGCAAACAACACTTTTGCTTTTGTTTAGAGACGCGAGCGACTTGAAGAAAATTCACTTGAAATCGTTTAAAAAGGGGCCAACAGAGGAAGAAAAATAACAAGAAGAAGCAGAAGATGACGAAGACAACAAAGAGCTAGAAGCAGAGATGCTGTTCTTGATTATGTTAGCTTTAACATACTTCAAGTTTTTTTATGCTTCTCCTTCAACTTCCCCAGCTCTCTCTCTCTCTCTCTCTCCCCTTCTTTCTCTTTCTCTGTTTGAAATGTGCTGCCACAGCTGTTGCCACTTGCAACTAGCAACTTGCAACTCGTATAGTTGCAGTTCAACAAAAGTTGTTGTCTAAGTTGTTTGCACAGCTCGTTAAATGTTGCTGTTGTTGTTGCTGTTGCTGTTTGTGTTTATTATTATTACACGCCTAGTTTAGCTTTAGAGCAATTGTTTGCCCTCTGCATGAGCTGAAGTTGCATTGAGAGTGCGCAAATGCAGGATATTCAAATGTTTTTGATGAAATTTAACAAATTAAAACATGAATTTTGAGTTTCATAAGTATGGGGCAAAAATGTTTAAGCAATTTTTTTGGACAAGGCTGAAGGAAGCCAATGAAGCTCTTTTTGATAAGCTCTTCAACTCCAGAATTGTTGAGGTTTATGATTTGAATACTATTTTGAAACAGTGCTGAATAAATGCTCGAAAAAATAAATAAATAATCCAAGTTATTCTATCAAATCTGACCCACTTAAGGCAGTTCAAAGCGAGATTAAAAAATCCTGAAATCTTGCTAAATCAAAACTTTGTAATCATCACTTGCTGCTTTGTGTTTGTTTTTTTTTCGCATCTCTTCTACAGGCGCTGCTGCGCTTCAAGGACAGCAATCAGAAAAAAAAAACAAAAACAAAAACAAAGAAAATAACTGCCAATATGAACTGCATAAATTTGGTTGCTGATTGCCACAGCGCAAAATGTTAATTAGCTGCAACGCGGCGTTGCACGTGCGAGGGCAAGAGTGCACTGGCAGGTAGTGGTAGCTACATGCACACAACATGCAACAACAACAACAACAATAATGGCAACTTGCAACAAATTATGTGCGAAGCAAGCGGAAGGCAGCGAAAGCAAAGCGTTACTCGAGGGCTGACATGATGCACTGCACGAAACAGGGGGGCAGAACTTAAGAAGGTTATAGAGTGAGAAGGGAGGCAGGGAGAGAGGTTATTGTAATATGTTTTATATGTAAATTATGTAGTAATCAGGGTAGTGCCTTTTCTATAAGTCTTTGTTTAAAATCACTTCAAATATTTCGAGCTCAGGCCAAGCTAAAGTTTTTAAGCCACTTTCTAGGAATATGAGAGAAGGCTGATATAACTGAAATAGTACTTTCCATGTATAATATATGCTATGCAGCAGTGGTATTCCCCCTGTAAAGCAATTTAAGACAAAGAATCGTTGCAAACATGTTGAGTTCATAATAAAGAAATGTTCTTAAAGCAAAAGGATTTCAGCGTATATAAATATAATAATATTTATATTATATAAATATAAATAATAAAAAAAAACGCAGTATTCCTTCTAAACTAAACTCTTTGTCTTACATCACCTCAGGCATTTTGAGTACATTTTAAAGCCAAAGTATTTAAGCTTGGCTTTGTGTCAGCTACCTTCATTTGTGCCTTAAGCTGTTCTTTGGTTGCTGTTGTTGTTGTTGTTGTTGCTGTCGTTGTTGTTGTTGCTTGTGAAACCGCAAGCGCAACAAATGCAGTTTATAAGTTGCAAGCAGCGCGAAATATTATAAACGAACTTAACTGAGCCAAAAAAACAAAGCCAAAGACGATGACGACGCAGCGAAACCCTCGACAGACCCAGACCCAGCGGCAGCTACAGCTTTAGCTTTTGTAAATGAACACAACAACAACAACAACAATAACAACAACAGCAACAACAACAAAAAGGCTAAAAATTGTTGCCACTTAAAAAAAAAAGAGAAAAAAAAACAACATCGAAGTCGGCGGCTTAGCAACGCGGCGGCACTTTTTGTGTTGCTGTTGTTGTTGCTGCTGAAGCACTTTGCAACAATTTTTGTGGCCAACAGACAAATCCAGGCAGCTGGGGGAAGACAGTCGAACAGCAGCGGCAACAATGTGTGAGTGTGAGTTGTGCAACAAATATGCGCACACATATAGATTGTTTTTAGTCGGGTTGCTCAGATTGTTGTTGTTGTTGCCACACGCAACAATTTCGCATGTTGAATGCTATTTTTTTTTTTGGGCACTTTTCTTGAAATGCGAGCGATTTGAGCTGCTTGAATGATATTGAAAATTGATTTTCAGCCACGCAGTGTCGCACACACACTCACACACACACACGCACAGCATTGTTGCAACACATGCGCCTCTGCCCGTCCTCTGGCTGCCTCACCCCGTTAGATCTGCCATTTGGGCTTTGTGGCAAGTTCCTTCATCATTTTGACCGCAAGCTAAATAAATCAGCGCTTGTCTGCAGCTCGGGCTTGCACACAGAAAGGTAGAGCGGCGGCAGAACAGCGGCAGAGCGACGGCAGAGCGGGCCGCAGCTCAGGGCTTTGGCTCTGTCGACGCTTGTCCAAGTCGGTTGTTAGTTGTTGTTGTTGCTGTTGCTGGTTGCTCTTTGTTGTGCTGCTGCTGTCCATCAAGTTCTTGCCGGTTCGTCCCGTTTTTATTTATTATTTTGTGCTGGTTTGGCTCTTTTTTTTTGTATTCCTTTCTGTCTTATAGAGCCGTTGCCTTTGCTGCAGACAATCGGATGGGCAGACAGACCGACAGACAGACAGACAGACGGGCAGGCGGGCAGAACTCCCCCGAAGCGTAGCTGCCACAGACAGACAGTGGCGTGTCTTGTATCTGCCGCTAAACATCATCAACGGGTCAGCGTTGCAAGTTGTTGCCAGTTGCTGCCGCTGCCAGTTGCTGCCGCTGAACTTTGTGGCATTTTAGTGCCTGGCAGCGACACTTAACATGCGCCATTTAGTGCATTTGATGCGCTGCAAGCAGCGAGCTTTTGATTTTTATTTATATTTTATTGGAGTGCATAATTTATGATCTTAGCCACAAGATCGAGCCACTCAGCCACTCAAATGGGCGTCGTTGCATCTTTGTTGTTGTTGTAGGTGTAATGCTGCAGCATTGTTTTAAGATTTATGTGGCTAATGCCACAACCAATAAACACACTCGTCTATATTAACAACATTGTGTGTGCATGTGTGTGTGTGTCAAGATTTATTAACGAAACACGACTATAACAATTCTCTCATTCTATACCTCTCTCTCTCTTTCTCTCATTGCAGGTGCTGTCAGCTTTGGACATTTTACAGCCACCACATTTGGACTTCTTTCAGGAAATGTATCCTTTTTACAACAAACAATAGAAAAAACTATAAATTAAATAGTTTTTAAAAATGATTTTTCACTAATTGAAAGCTGAAATGAATTTTCTTTTAGTCTGATTTAAGTAAAGCTTTGAGTTGTCTTTTAGAATTATTAAGCATAAATGAATAGTTCTTGATAATTTGAAAATTTTGTAAGAGTTTATTGAGTTTTATAGCAAACTTTTGGGAATCGTACAATTCAATTAAGTATTTAGTGCAAGAGAAGATTTCAAATGTAACTGAATAGAGTAATTGCAAATGAAATTAGTTTGAGTCAGACTTAAGTGAAATTAATAACTTGGAAAAGTTTTCAAGCGCACTTGAAACTGCTGGGAATAGTAAAGGGCGAATTTAGTGAGAATCCTTATAGCAAATATTGAAATAAAGAAGTAGCATATGACTTAAGAGACTATTAATAGGCACACATGAATGGGGAAAACATTTTAGAACATAATAGAGAGACTATTAAATAGAGGATCTTTAAATATTACATATGAAGTAAGCAAGTGTAGGTAGAGATCAAAATCAGGGTCGATTAGAGGGAAAATATGTTAGCGCAGGGCTATATAAATCAGAGCTATATGCCAAATTACTTTTACTCTTCACTGACTACTTCTATGCCTAAGTAACTACGTATTTAGATTCCATGAAGATACAAATTAGATAAATCATAAGCCGTAAGAGATTACGGACAAGCAGAGAAAATACTAGATAGAGCAGCCAATTGAAGAGAAGATAGGAAGTAAGCAAATGTAGTTTTAAATTGAGAGAAGCCTCAACGAAAGATGCTAAGGAGAAGAACAAGCTAAGCTGAGTGTAAGCTACCTGCTTGTCGAAGTCTATGTGGAGCAGAGGCAATTCAAGAGATTATTGACATACTGAGAAAATCATCATTGAATAGGAAATGAGTTGTATGCAAATGTAGCACGCAATTGAGAGCCAGATCATGTGCAGGCGATTTACTTAAAGAGAAGATATTTAGTTGAAGAGCAGAATAATGTATGCTGAGCTTAAGGTAGCTGCTCGCTGGACACTGGAGCAGTTATATGTGTGAGAGAGGCAACATACTGGCAACCTAGTCATAGGAGGCAGCTCAATTTCAATGCTTTAAACGTATTAGTATATGAAGTAATGTAAAGGATAGTATGAGTAAATATAAATGATAGTATTAGTTTATATACTAAATTGATAAAAGTTATTGTTAGTTGTCTTTGAGATTTAATTGAGAATAACTCATTGAAACAGCAATCAGAAGATATGACGAGACTTTTCTATAAATTAAACATATTTGCCAAGAACAAAAACCTTCACCTGCTCTCACGCACGTATAAACACACATACCTATACACACCCACACCCACACACCTTCAACTACACCTACACACACCCACACAGACACTCACGCCTACTTCAGCGCAGCAGCTTAACAATTTGGCAAATCCAAAAAGCTTGAGTTGAAACCGCATCCTTCGTTGGGGTCACAGGTTTTATTTGCTGATTGAGGGCAAACTGTGAAAATAAAAGGCGAGAATATCTATTTTCAGCGCGTCAAAGTTGTGGGCAGAGCGAAAGCCAAAGCCCAAGCTAAAGCGAAAGCTGAAGCTGGAGCGTGCAACTACTTAATTGAAAAAGTTTAAAGCTAACAAACAAGCCCCAAAAAACTTTTGCGCGTGGCCCAAAATGGGCGACAAACAGCATTCGGCTGCCACATGGCAATTGGTTATTTCCTAAACACTATCCTAACTCTAGCTATGTGATAACTGAACTGCTGCAATCGGATCTGCACAAGATCATCGTGTCGCCGCAGCATCTGTCGGCGGACCACATCAAGGTCTTTCTCTATCAGATACTGCGTGGCCTGAAGTATTTGCACTCGGCCAGGATACTGCATCGGGACATCAAGCCGGGCAATCTGTTGGTCAACTCCAATTGTGTGCTGAAGATATGCGACTTTGGGCTGGCACGCGTCGAGGAGCCCGACCAGGCCAAGCACATGACCCAGGAGGTGGTCACACAATACTATCGGGCACCCGAAATACTCATGGGCGCTCGCCACTATTCGTCGGCTGTGGATGTGTGGTCGGTGGGCTGCATCTTTGGTGAGCTGCTGGGCCGGCGCATATTGTTCCAGGCGCAGAATCCGGTGCAGCAGCTGGAGCTCATCACCGAGCTGCTGGGCACGCCCACCATGGAGGATATGCGTCATGCGTGCGAGGGCGCACGCACACACATGCTGCGGCGGGCGCCCAAGCCGCCATCGTTCTCGGTGCTCTACACGCTCAGCTCACATGCCACGCACGAGGCGGTGCATCTGCTCTGCCAGATGCTTGTCTTTGATCCGGTAAGGCAGACTGGCTTAAGTGACACTCAAATCTTTCGGCTGTAACACACGATTCTCTTTCCCCCTCCTTCCGCTTCTTACAGGACAAGCGCATTTCGGTGACAGATGCTCTGGCGCATCCGTATCTGGATGAGGGCCGTCTGCGCTATCATTCGTGCATGTGCAAATGCTGTTTCACTACCTCAGCCGGAATGCGTCAGTATACGGCGGACTTTGAGCCCTCCGCCGGGCAGCCCTTCGATGATTTATGGGAGCGCAAGCTCACCTCAGTGCAGCAGGTGAAGGGTAAGTCAAATAAACGAACGAGAACGAAAAGTTGTAAGAGCATTTTATAAATGAGGAATTCCCCCTCTCACAGAGGAGATGCACAAATTCATTGCCGAGCAACTGCAAACGGGCCGTGTGCCGCTCTGCATTAATCCGCAGAGTGCGGCCTTCAAGAGCTTTGCCAGGTGAGTTGCAATCCAGCCATACAACACGCTGCACGTTGCGTACGAATCCCAACCAAACTCGACCCACTCTCTATCTCTCTCTTTCTTTACCTATCTATCTCTATCTCTCTCTCTTTCTTTTTGTTGTTCCAAAAAATTGTATTCGTAATTTGCTTTTCAGTTGACAAATAAAATTCTCTCTTTCACGCACATTGTTGTCTCTCTCTCTCTCTCCCTATATCTCTCTTTTTAAAAGGAAACTTTGTTTTTTCATTTTACTTCGTCAAATGCTTTAAGTCTTTCTATCTCCGACTCCACCCTCTCTATCTCTGTCTCTCTCTATCTATTGTTGATTTATCTTTGAATATAATATAATATATATTTTAAAACATTTTTAATTTTTGTTTTCTCTTCTTTTTTTTCTATCGTTTTTTGTATACAAATATATCGATTATACATCAATATCGATATACATTAATATTGAATCAATTCTATCAAATTTAATTTACATATTTGCGTTGTTAAGCCAATGAGAATGAGAATATCTACTACTACTACCACTACTACCACAACTTGCACTGCTGCTCCTGCCGCTGCTGCTGCCGCTGCCGCTGCTGCTGCTGCTGTTGCCGCTGCTGCCGCCGCCGCCGCCGGTGCGCAGGCTAAATACCAAGACAAAGACCAAGTATATATACTAGGCGCGTACCAATATTATCCAATCAAGTCAAAGAAATACACAGAAAGCAGATCCAAGCAGAAGCTCACAAAACAGAAAGAAAAGAAAAAACAAAATAGCAAAGCCGCCAGAGAAAGAAAGAAAACAAACAAGAATAAAGAGAAAGACAAAGACAAGCAAGCAAGATCAAGAAAGCGGGCGAAAAAGCGAGCAAGATACTAAGAATCGCATTGCAGCGATATATATCGATATCGATATCGTTACTACACTATTGTGGGTACCTCGGCAGCAGCAACTCTTGAATCTTTAGGTCTGTTGATCAAGCAAATACATTTATTGCTCTAATACATTTGCTAAAACAAAACAAAAAATATATATCATTTATAATTTTTTTCTATAATTTATATAAATATGATTTAATACCTATGTTCACCATATATATATAAATATACATATGTATATTCTCTTCCTTTTTTTATAATATATATCTTCTACTTTATTTTCTGTTTGTTTAATGCAAATGTGTATAAAATCATTTATAATACTCCTAAGTTGTGAAATATGACTTAACTCATATATATATTTTTTCATTTTCATTACATTTATTATTAAATGGGTTATTTGTGTACATAAATGTTATTTACAAAAAAAAAAAAATACCAAAACTGGCAAATTTCTAACTCTCGTCAAATGTCAAACGCAAAAATTGGTCGACAAAAAATAAATCATCCAAAATAATTGAAAACAATTGGCTTTAAAAAAAAATCAAGAAATTTTGGAATCCTGAAAAAATACTACAAAAATACGCACCACTTTTCATAGACATTTCGAGCAAAGCATATCAAAAATACCTTGCAAAGCATAAAATGTAATCTAAATCCCATATACATATATCTCTCTATCCATAGCCAATTTATATTTACCTTGTTGCAACTCATATATCATATAAACCAAATATATATAAATATATATATATTCGCATACTGTGTAAAGCATTTAATATATCAAAACTTTAATCAATCACACGAATACACACATATATATACACAGAGACACGCCCATTATCATATAAATGTAAAATTAAATATTCCATCCTTGCAGTTAAAACTTGAATAGAACTCTATAAATCATAGCTAAAACTCTTAAAAGAGAACTCTTTAATATAACAGCAACTGTATATTTATTATCTCTTGCAAGTCTTTTCCTTCTACCTATCTATATCTATCTGACGTCAGCTTCCTGTGAAGCTTATCAGCTGAAACTTGGAGCAACTGCTATAAGTTCTATATAAACCAAGTCTATACTATCTATCCTTTATTAATAACTATCCGAACTAAGCTTCCTCTCAAGCTTCTCTGTTGAAATTTGGTATAGCTGATTAGAATCATTCAAATTACAACACTACCATATCATATAGCTACCACATTACAATAGATGGAATTGGCATGCAGAAGAAATTCTAACTGCTCCCTAGAAGACCTCTCTTAAACTTGAGAATGAGTAGAATTCTAACTGAAAAGCATATTTAACTGCAAGAGTATTCCAGCTTCGGCTATGCCGAAATTATATATTTTCCTTTGTTTTCTTTCTCCAATAAAGTCATGAGCAAAACACACGCACACAGTTAGCTTGTACATTTTTGCAATTAGCCATATGAGAGTCTATATCACAGCCCCCACTAGCAACCGCCCCCCACCCGGCCCCCTTAACTCTACATCATGAATTTGGCCAAGAAAACATTTACAACTACATTTAATACACTGCCAGCAACAACAAACAGCAAAATGCATATTGAAAAATTAGAAATGTATGTATATATATATACATATATATACATATATGTATATGTATATATATATATATATAAATCAGTGCAGTTGAGCAGCAGTGACAATGGTCAAAGCAAAAGTAGAATAAAACCGCTTGAAAAGCTTTCACTTCAAGTCTTCAAAAAATAATAATTAAATAATTAACATAAAATTCTATACATTTATTATATAAATTATTTAATTCTTGATTTCATTATGTTTTGTTTTGTTGGTTGTATACTCGAAATCTATTTAAATGTAGTTTATCTGAATTTATATAATTTCCCTTCATGTACTTCATTTATTTATAATTTTGATTAGTTTATGCTGGTTTGTTGTTTATTGTTTATTGTTTATAGTGCTTCCACTGCGGGTTTTTTACTCTGGCTTTTTATGTTGTATGTATTAGTTTTTTGGGTAGTTTGCTGCATGTGCTCTACGCTCTATTTAAATGTATTTGAAGTGACAACTTTTCTGATCTGAGACTTGACTAATTTGTGCATTTTGTCTTCTTGTTTTTTTTTTTTTCCTTAATATTTTCGAAATTAGCTCCACTGTGGCACATCCTTCGGAGCTGCCGCCTTCGCCACATCAATGGGAATGACGGCAAAATGAGGCGATTGCTGCCTAAAATATCAAAAGCAACACTCAGCAAACAACAACAACAACAGCAACAACTTGAACAACAATAGCTAGCTATATACATGCGTACACATGTATGTGTATGCTATATATAGCTATATCAAATATGGACAAGGAGCCGTGCGACTTGCAGCTCCGCTACAACGCCTTCGGGACAGCAAATGGATAACAACGATTACAATTTTAAAGCGCCAAAAAACAGTTTTGCTCAGCGCTGTCTGTTTCAAAGTTAAAGCATTCCACCACCGAAACTAAAACAACAAATAAACAAAATGTAACGTAACTCAACTGAAACTAGTCTAAAAAAAAAAAAATAAAGAAAGAAAGAAACAAGAGTAAAGTAAAGCAAAGCAAACAACAATCGAAATTGTTTGCGGCACAAACAACAAACACAACAAATTCGAGAAAAAATAAAAAACAAATTCATTATAAACAAATTAAAATACGCGAAAAAAAAAATTATGAAAAGCAGCAAAAAATTAATTTGTTGCGCTTGACAAAATTGGTAGAAAAAATACGACAAAACACTAAAAATTAAATATTAAAAAAAAAAAAACAACAACAAAAGGAAAGCAAACATTTTTTGGTCTAATAAACAAAATGCAAATTGTTTTTGATTTTAAGCGCTTTAAGAAAAACAAAAAACAAAAAATCGATGTAAATTAATTAGCAATTAGTGCAAAACACAAATTATATACATATATATATGTGTACTAAAAATTAAATATATATACACACACACACTCTCACACACAACAAGAAATTTGTTTGCCAAATTTACCTCACACAACCACACACACACACAAACTTTTTTTCTGTGTATAACTATATAAAAAAAACTATAGAACTCTCTCTCTCTATATATATAAATGTGTAGCAGCTAAAAACAAAACAAAGAAAACATGAATATTTTCTAAAAACTAATTAAAAAACATAACAACATCAAGAACTATTTATTTTCCACATATTCGCGCTTCAATTTTGAAACTGGTTTCTAACTATATGTAGAAAAGGAAGAAGAAGAAAAGGCTCTATAGAGAAAGCTCTTAAAATCCCTCTAAATATATATATGCAAATCTACATATATATATTTATGTATTAAATGTGTGTTTGTATATGTATAACTGTAACTCTGTGTATGTCATATATATATTTATATACATATACATATATATAGCAGAACATGAAAATCTTTTGGAAATACACATGAAATAATTTTAACCGTGGACTGATTAAATTGCATAAATCCCAAACAATTATGCAATTAAATAATTAAACAAATTTTAATTTTTGATTAATCTAATCTACTTAACGCTTAGTTTATGACAATTTATATGCATATATGTATTCGCATTAGTTTTAACATTTTTAATTATTATTATTCTATTTGTTTTGCCTTTTGCTGGCAAATTCGTTTAGTTCGTAGCGCACGCACACACACACACACACAGGCATAGACACAGCCAGAGACACAGACACTAGTATATGTGTGCGTGTAGCAAAAGCAAAACCAACAAGTGGACGACACACTGCCCCCCAGTGAATGTGCCCAGGCGTTTCAAGCACAGTCAGCACTCACTAAAGTGGACACTCTCGCTCGCTTGCCTCTGTCCGCTGAACGCTGGGCCATTTCAAAGTTAGTTTTTAAATCTTAATTAGTTTAACTGTAATATAGTTTAATTGAGCCCAGGCTAACCCCAGCCCCCCTCCCCCCTTGAACTTTTCAACTAGCAACTCAATGCTCATTGCCAACAAAATGCTATAAATAGATCTGTTTAGTATCTCTAGCTCCCATATATACTATTTCACACTGATATCTGTATATGTTTAAGACTGAGTTCTCTCATTTCCTTACAAAAGAGATGGTTGACAAGCGCGCCTATATGCAAAATATAAATATATATATATATATATATATATAAAGTATATAAACAAAATGAAAATGATATTGAATGAAATGAAAATGAATTAAAATGTCAGGAAAATTGTTTTTGGTATAACAAAGAAAAAGAAAACGTAGCGAAAAACCCATTTATAATGCTTGAATTATATATTTAAATGTAGCAAAACTATATATGAAAAGAAGAAAAACAAGGCATATATATATATATATATATATATGTATGTAACCATTATATGTATGTATGTGTACTTGTATTCGTAATTTTTGAAGTCTTTTCGATATAAATCGTAAACTTTCTCGAAAATTGTAGGCGCTCAACTAGAAGCCAATTTCTCTATATAGAAAAACAAACAACAAAACAAATTTCTTCGACTCTAAACTGTGCTGCTTTCTTATGTATGTAGTTTTTAATTATATATATGCGCATATATATATAACTAATTTAGCGTACGCCTAAAGACGATTAATATGAAGGAAACGAAATATGAATTCAAACTTTCACGGAGATCTCATAGCAAAAGAAAACAAAATGAAAACAAACGTAAAACTTGATGAAAGGCGAAAAGTGGAGAATCGTTAGAGCTATACGAAATATACGATATATATATATTTTTTGTATTTAACCATATGGTTAAATGTTGCCAACGATTTTCCATATTTTTGATTTCTTAAAACAAAACTTTTGTTTATAAATAATCAGTTTTTTCTTATATATATACACGTAGACAACAATATTTTGGTCACACTCACACACACACACACCCATACTCGAATGCTAAGGCACACACACACATACTTTTATTTTACTAAATGTAACTGTAATAAATGTTCAATAAAAAACAAATGCAATGCAAAACAATTTATCAACTACATTAGCAGCTAAGCACATTTTACACCCAATACACACTTTCATACATACATACATTATATATATGTAATTTCGTTTTGACTTGATGTAAGCACCATGTACATAACATTAAAACCCCACCAATACTTATATATTAATACATATATATAAACTTTATATATAATCCAAATTAAATCTAGTTTTCATTTTTTAGTTAAAGAAACAAACAAATATATATAGATATATAACAACTATATAGTTAATCATATACATGTACATTTTTTTTGCACAATTTTCAACAAAATAAAACACACACACATTACATATATATAAATCTATATATATATATACAATACAATACAATAATTATGCTAAATTTGGTCTATAAATTCGTGGCGCTTATGTTTCAATAAGTTTCAACAATGTTTAATTGTTAGTTAAGCTAAGTAAACCGAAAAAGAAAAACAAACAAACTAAAAGCTGAGTATTTGACCTACATAGATATACAATATACAATATAAATATATATATATGTGCTAATTATACAGTAGAACCTACGTATAAACTACCTAATATAATGCGATGAGTTTACGTTGGCTGCAGAGAGTGAAATAAAAATCGTGTAAAACTGTTTGTATAAAAAAAAAGAAAAAAAAACGAAGCTATCTTATTGTTTTATTTTAATTTAATATAGAATTTCGTACCCTTACTTTTCTTTTCGTTTCTCGTCGTGGCACACCCTAATGCAGGTATTAGGGTGGACTTGTAAAACCGAATGCATTTGCAATTAGAATTTATAGCTATAAAGTACGTATATGCATTTCTCTCCAAGAATATATATATATATATATAGCACTACTATATACGATATACGATATATGATACAAAATAATATATACATATGTGTGTATGTATGGACAATATTTGCGAATAAACTGAAACTTCATAGCGACAACTCTCACTCTCTACAGAAAAAAAATATTCAAATTACAGGTAACAAAAATTTTCAGTTTTTGGCAAGCGACAAAAAAGCTGAATTGAAAAAAATATTTTGAGGCATTACGATAAGCTGCTTCTAAATTTTATAAAAATACAAATGATTGGAAGAAATAAAAACCACAAAATTAATAAAAATAAAATAAAATTTGTGCCAGAAAAAAACTTTTGGCAAGACAAAAAAAAAGTTTTCTTAACAGAAAAAAAAATGCACTCAGGTTATAAAAAAGAAAGAAAAACATAAAGACGTGTAAAAACAAGATTCTGAATTCCATATGAAATGAAATTAAAATAACAAATAATTAACATAAATATTGCATACAGAAATACATAAATGTTTAACAAAAGGCTGTTTGTAGAAATTGTGACACAGTTTTTTAACCCCAAAATGAAACAAGAAAAAAACAAAATAACAATTAAAATGCAAAAATGTTTGATGTAAATGTGAGTAGAGAACACGCTTAGATAAAGGAAAGAGGTAATGTAGAGATTGTAAACCCAATTTAAAGTTCTGATTGTGAATGTACTCGTAGTTGCTTAGCCCACTAGAGCCCAATAGAGCCTACTTGTAGCGGGTCCTACGTAGGATCGCTTCTATGTGCACTGCTAAAGAGAAACTCAACCAGCGAGAAATCGTGTAAATACAAATACAATAATAATATATAAAGCGTATATAGCATATATCTATCTCAATATATATATATATAGTAAACTTTGTGATTGCTTCTCATTGATGATACCAAATCGAGTAGATGTCAGATGTAAGCCGGCGAGTGCAAACTCTTTCCAATGCATAGCCATTCTTATAAAATATAAAAATAAAAATAAACATGTATAAAGCACTCGATATTCAAATTCTAACACCCCTGCCCCTACCCGTACCCCTACCTCTGCCCCAGTACCCACTCCCTAACAACATTCTCAGATAAATTTGATGTAGAACACAAACCAATGTACGAGTAGTTAACAATGTCATATACAATATATAAATATATATAAACATATATGTATTCATTATAAATGTTGTAAAAAGAACAAGGAAACCTATATGCTCTATGAATGTGTATGTATATGTGAAAATATTTAAAGTAAATATAAAATCGTAGCACATTTTGAAACGCTAAAAAATATATATGAAAACATCCATTTCAATTAGAAGCTCTCACTACAATTTGCACGCGATCGATAAACAGATCGATAACTGTATATATGTAATTATAATATGTATACCTATTCACACACACAGACACGAACACACACACTCCCAATTTAACACTAACTAAATTGATACAACTTGTAAATTATATTCAAAGCGAGCAAAAAAGAAAGAAAAAAGAAGAGTACTTTTCAAGAATTACATAAAAACATAAATACTTAAAATTGATACCATAATACACACTAACCCCATTGTATTAACTAACAACAAATAATTAGACTTACTAATATTATAACGTAAAACTGAAAAAAGAAAAAACATAAAACAAAAAAGAAAAACAGTAAAAAATGCTTTCAAACTAAATAAAGTTCTTTGGAATTACAATGCAAAACAAAAGATACGAAAACTAAAACAAATTGACATTATTTATTGGGAAAATTGGAATCTGTCTGTAAACTGAAAATTTAGTAAGAAAGTGGAGCAGAAAGAGTACAATTTAAAAGTTTGATGAGGCCAGTTAAAAAAATAGTTTTTAATGCTATATTCAATCCATTAACAGCTCCCATCATTGCACGTCCAATTACTTAAAACAAAAATCGTGAAATGAGCTTATTTTAAAATTAAAATTTCCAACCAAATCATATTAATATTCCAACTGCTTGCACTGCTTGCCTGCGCGAACATGTTATTAACAGCGCTCGTTAACAGCAAATGCATTCCCAGACTTATAACAGTCGGCTAACTGTAGTTGCGCTGCTGTCTGATAGGTGGCGCCACAGTACAATCTGCTCAATGCTTGTTTTCAACTCTTTGCAGAAAGAAAATTAAAAGAAAATGCACAATTTATATACATTCAGTTCTTGGCTTAAAAGCTCTCATGTATTCAGTGCTTAAACTAGTTTTGTTTTCTCTTCTTTTTAGAATTCAAGTTTATGGCTAAAAGTATAAAACTATGCCCAGTGAGTTTCATGCAATTTGGGCGCTACAAAATTTGCTTAACACTAACTTTAGGGTCTGCACTTCCATTGCAGTACTTACAACATATATATGTGTGTGTACATATAAATGTGTATATGTTACGTTTCGCATCAGTCTTAAACAACGAATATTCAAAAGGTTTTCTTATAAAATTGTCCTCAATAGAACCTTAAAGCAAATACTTAATTAAAATGATAATTTATATAACTAGGTGTTGCTACTCCTTCTTGCCATAGTGGCTGTAGCTCTCCTCCACAAAGATCTGTATAGAGCGCTTGACGTGCTGTTTGTGTGGCTCGGGCAGCTGCTCCAGCTTGGGTAGAATCTTCATGAGAAACCGAAAGTCGGGCGACAGATTAATGTTGGTCTCAGTCTCTGGTACAGGCGGCGACTCTTTGACCGGCTCCACGGGCATAATGGACATGCTGGCCGGTAGATTAATGCCAGGTGAGCCTTCCAATTTGACAAAGTTGGTGGGATTCTTCTTGGGCGGCAGCGTTATGTGCGGCTTATTCACAATAGGAGCGGGCTTCGGGGGCAGCGGCTCCTGCTTGATTGTCGCCTGATGCTTGATCGTCGGCAACTTGACCTTCGCCTGCGCCTGTTCCTTGCCCTGGATGCAGTTTAGTATCTCTGGCAGAAACTTCTCCAGATGCTGTGTGAGATTTGCCTGCGGCTTGTCTGTGACGATCATCAGCTTTTTGGCAGCCGTATCCTTCTCCTGTTCCACAACTACAAACATTTTCCTCTTCTGGCCGTTGGGCAACGTATTTCCATTCTTCTCATCCGACTTTTCAGTTATCAAATACAGTTTGCGCTTCTTCGCCAGCCCATTACCATTCTGAGCATGTGCATCCACCAGAGCGGACAACGGCATGCTGGCCTCGTAGTCCGAGCTGATGGACTGCACATCGCTGGAGATGGACGAGGAGGAGCATATCGAGTGGGAGCGTTGCGGCACAGGTGTTATTGTAGTCACTGACTTCTCCTGCATGGACTGCTTCAATGATTTCCCACTGGAGCTCTAAAGATCAAAACAAACAACATAAGAGATGGGAATTTTCATTGAAATTTGTAGCATTTGTGCTACTCACATCGACAAGCTCAATTGTTGTTGTGCTGTCTGCCATCGGTTTGGCAGATGTCGCTACTACTGCTTCTGTTGTTGCTGTTGTTGCTCCTGTTGTTGTTGTTATTTTGTTTGGCTTGTTTAAGCGCAGTGGCGTCGTCTTGATGCGCGTCTTAGCCATTGCGTTGCGCTGGCTAAAATGCCTCAGGCAGATGCGCAGCCTTTTCACGCCGCCAAGTTCCTGCACCAGTTGGTCGTTCAATCCGAATTGGCGCAGCCAATAGTTGCAGCTGCAGGAATTACAATTGTTGATTGTTCAGTTGTGCAGTAGATACAAGTGCAAGCATTACATATACTTATATGCACAGTGTATGTGTGTGTGTATTGGTGGTGCAGCACGATTCTCTTGTCAGTCGCCCTGCAAGCTCAGCTTGGGTCAACAACGCAATTTATACACCAATTGTGCACAGTTCTTTACAGAGAAAGCTTTCGTATCGAACAGCAAATAAGCAACGCAGCACAGCACAACACAACATACGTTTTATTAACTCTCTTTGCTGATGGCAACCTTTTCTTATATGGAATTTACCCGAACTCTAACTACACTCGAGCGCTGCTCAGCGTTGCGATCGCCTCGGAAGTTCTTTGTTTACTGTAAAGAACTGCATCGAAGTTTCGTTCTTTTGGCAGTGCTTTTCCTGTGCAGCTTTAAAATTAGATCCCATCTCGCTCTCTCGCACGCATACACCCGTGAAGTTTGCACAAACTGGTGAAAAGTTCTGCCATGGCCACTAAAAGTTGTAGCTGAAAAAGCGCTTTTATGCTCATTGCAGTGTTACTCTTTGTGTCGCTGTGTGTGTGCTGTGTGTATGTGCGTATTCGTGTGTGCACGTTTTTGCATGTGTAGTGCTTTCGCCGCTCTCGCTCTCTTCTTCGTCAAAGAGCGGAAGTTTGTTGCGCGTCTTGTGCCGGCGTTCAACTGCTGCATCCACTTGCCGACGCCCGCCCTCCCTCAACCATTGCAACAATAACAACAATTGTTGCTGTTTATTTGCGTTATGGATAGGCCCAGACACAGCTGAGCCGATTTGGGGTGGGCCTCGTTTTACCTCAATTGTATCAATTGAGAGATATGTATGTCTATTTTAATTATTGCTATTCGAGTTTTAAAGGTATGAGAACTCATTAATTTTTGAAATTTATCTACTATATTTATATTCTACTTTTTACTGCTTTTCAATGTTCAATTTAATCCCACATTTTGTGTCCACTCTAAGCGCCATGTTGATGGCAATAACTTCAGTCCACAGAACTGTTTTTGCAGCACAAACTTCACGGCCAACAGAGCGCGTTTTGTACGCATTACAAGAGAGCAAGAGAGCGAGAGAACGAGAGAGCTAAAAATAAACCGATGGGGAATATTTCTATGCGTTTGCCTGCTTCCAACTCTAAGTGTGAGTGTGGGACGCAGCTTCTTATGCTTCTTTCGTTGTTTCCCTCACACCCACAATGTGCATAATTGCAATACAAATGCATGGCGTGTACTTGTTGTTTTTGTGTTTTGTTTTTGCCATGGCATTGAAATTTTTTCTATGAAGCTGATGCGGCCGCCGAAAGTTCAACAACCTTTGACTTGGCGGGAGGAGCGATTCCAATGCAAAAGCTCACTCTCATTTTGCTAAGCTTGCCGGGAATATTATTTGTATGCATTCCTGACATACACACATATGTACATACAAATTTACATGTTTGTATATATGTACGTACGTACATACATGTGTATGCAGAAGAGAATTTGTGATGCGCATCAAGCTTCGGTGCAATCAACAACAACAACTCTATAAACAGGTTTTATTGTACATACATACATATGTAGATCGGCAAAAGGTCATAAATAAAGTAGAACTTCGAGTAATCACTTACCGATCTATGTCGTGCACTGGAAAGCGACGCAGCTCCGAAGGGCTGGCCTTGCAGCCTGGCATTAGGCATATCCTAGAATTGATATGATTATTCGAGAGATTCGCGCTGGGATGCAGCGACATGGCTTTGCAAATGCGTAGATTGCTCATGGTGTGTGGTGAAATCTAAAAGAAATTCATAATTTAATGACATCGATTATAATGTGTGTACTAATTGATTAAACACATTTACTTAAATCGAGCATAATATTCAAGCTTAATAAGCAGAGAGCAATAAAGAAACACAACACATACTCGCACACAAATAAAAGTTAAAGCTTTTAGCGCTCTCTGGTGCAGCTTTCAGCAACAATAATATGCCGCTGCAGTCTCATCTTGTTTTTATTGTAATTTAAAAAGAGCTTTCTGTGTGCTAGAACAGCGCTTACGCCGTTGAAAGTTGGCAGCTGCTGCCTTCCTCCAATTGTTGCTGATGTTGCAGTATTTGTAGAGTTGCTATTATTGTTGTTGTTGTCTAACTTATGCTCCATAACTAGAGAGTTAGTGATATTTTGGTAATCTCTCTTCACGTACCTGTTGAGTTGAATAACCTTCCTGCACGCCACAGTGTGCGTTGTGACTGTGTGCGTGTGTGTGACGTGCTTTTGCCTGACACGATTAGAGCTAGATCTCTTTATGGCTCGTTTTGTTGAATTCTTCACAAAAGCTTTACGAATGTAAGGCGTTTTACTTGTGCAGCCACAATAAAGGTATGGCTCTCAAGTAGCTTCGCTTGATTGTGATTGCGTTCTGTCCAAGCTACGTCATGGTATCTCAAAGACTGCCAAAAGTTTCGCCTGCGTCACTTCAAGTATAATGTAAAACGTATTGAAAGCTGTCGGGCTAGCGCTTTTGTTGCTCTTTCAAAGCTCACGGCTTGTTGTTCTTTTTTCTTTCTTTTCGTAAGCTTGGTTTCCATTGTCGCTCAGTTGAGAGGAAAGCTTTCGTTTAGCTCTGAGAGCGATATATATTTAGAGGGTAGCCTACAAGGTGAAAGCTTTCAAATTGTGGTACGAGATCGAAAACGTGTATTATATTCAAAAGCTTCTTCAACGAAATGTGAATAAGGCTCCCAGAGCTTTCAAAAAGCTACATGATTTGAGTGTGGTATAAGAGATAATTTATATGTTAAATACAAATTCAACTTTACATTTAAATATTAATTTATCTTATCATAATGGACGGCCATAAATTACAGTGAGCATTCCGAAAATGTTAATTAAAAGTGCTAAAAGCTTTTCATAAATAACATTCGTTAAACGGCAGGTGTTAGATGCAGCTTTGGTCCAATCATTTTTTGTGCATTAATAATAATTTGCTGGAAGCACGCTTCTACGCCATTCAAAAGCCAATCAATTGACCATAAATTTCAATAGCTGTTCACTGAGCAGTAATTATAAATAAATATATAGAAAAACTCTTGAAAAATGGCAGATAAGCGCGTCGGCTTGGGCCATCATTCATATTCAGTTTTTCCCTCTCCACAAAGTTGTCAATTAAAATTGTGTAAACAATTTTTGCGGCTTGTCAATTGTTCGGCAGCCTCTTTATGACCAGCCTCAATGCTTCGCGCCTTGTGGACCGTTAAACAACTTTAATAGTTGGCGGGGCTTTTTTTTATGGATGCCAGATAATATAGTCGTAAATTGTGCTATTAAAAAACATGTTGGAATTTGCGCCGACTAATTCGCAGTTCTAAGCGGCTGATTGCATTTTACGATCATAATTACAAATAGGGCTTTAAGTCGTTTTTTCAGCCATCCCATTGCCTAACCCATTATACACGAGAAACAATTGTCAGAAACATACAAGCAAATAACAAATCTACAAAAAATGGCATGAACTGCATTTCAGTTCAGTCAGCGTTTCTCTAGTTTGATTGAATGAATGATGTGTTGCCGACTTGAAAGTGTTTGCCATTGACGGCGTCTCGCGGCGATGCCAGACGATGATAATAATCATCAGCTAGCTGGCTGGCTGCCTGTCTGGCTTTGAGTGTGTGTGGTCTTTTAACTGTTAGCCAGTCAGTCAGTCATCCAACGAGTACTGCTCGAAGGCAAAACGTTTGCCACAGCCCGCTGATTATGTGATTAGAATATTGACAATTAAGCGCACATAAATTGATTTACTTGTAATTTTTAATGGCCTCTTATGAGTCCAATTGAAACAAGTGCTGCACATTGTACAGAGAGTACACGGCACTTAGATACAAATGATAAACTACTTTGAATATACTTTTTTTTAAATGAAAAAAATTAAAAATATGAGAAAAAGAATTCTTGTCAGAAGTGGGATTCGAACCCACGCCTACAGAGTAGACTGCGACCTGAACGCAGCGCCTTAGACCACTCGGCCATCCTGACTATGCTCATGCTGGTGCGCAGGAACCAATGGCATTCTGTGCGAATGGCGGCCATTGTCAGTGGCTCGACGCTGGTTTCATGACTTCTCTATTTTTAGATTTCTAGCGTATTACACGTGCGTGTGTGCCTTTGTGTATGTGAGTGTAATTGCTGACCAATCAGAGTTGGCTCTTTGAACTTGGGCTGCCTACGCAAAGCGAATGAAAAATTGCATGTGGCGCCCGGAGGCAAAGACAAATTGCACTCGTTGGGTCGCGTCATCGAAAGGTGTGTACACACTGGCTACGTGCAACAAAATGCAACAGTAATTATATTTCGAGCGTGATAAATGCGGCGATGCAATTGATAACAACAACGACTACGAAAATAATAATAATAATAATAATGAAAAGTAACTTCAGCCGAAATCAGGTCAGAGACATTCATCACATTGAATAAGTTCGCCGATTGGCAACTGTCACATTTTATATTTATTTTCATTTATTATGCAACCACCCACTACTGCTGTGGAAACTGTTGTCGCTGCTGTTGCCGTTGTCGTGTTGCATATGCAATGAGTTATGCAAAATAATTAAGTTATAAGAAAATGTCAACGCTGGCCAGTGGCCAATGGCTAATGTTTTTCGCGCGCCCTGGCCAATGCTGCTGACATTTCACACGCAGCTGCTGCAACGGCGGCGACTTGTTGTTGCTGCCACTTGTTGCTAGTACCGGTCGCACGCACTTTCAATGCATTTCAATTAGCTTCGACTGTGCTGCTGCTGCTGCTCCACTTTGACTTTGAGCGTCGAGCTGGGGGCCTCGAGTGATATTTTCATTTTTATAGCTTGATTGTAGACATTTGATAGGCATTTATATATGTTAATCAGTTGGCTGACCTGACAGCTAAAGTTAATTAAAGTTTACGCATTCAGAAACCATAAATTCAATGCTTGCCAAGTAACTACTCTACTCCACTGAGCCCAACTCTACTCTACAAGTCATAATATCCATTAATTCGCATGATTACTTTGCAGAGCCATCATGTTATGACCACAGACAAACATACATGTGTATGCATGTGTATGAGCATAAATTCATTGTGATTAATGGTAGACAAAGTTCTTAGACAACTGACCCATTTCCTATGCCTTTGTGGCATAGTCTAATAGAGCGCAATAGCAAAAGCAAAAGCAAAAGCAGTTGAAATAAAATTAGCAAATTGCCCGAATGTCAATCAAAAGTCATCAATCAAAATTTATGCTACTGTCAGCTTGACACAATATGTATATAAAAAGCATAAATATTATACACACATATAAAGCGCAACGGGGCGCGGCAGCTGCAGTTGCAGTTGCAGTGGCAGTGGCAGTAACTGCTGCATGCCCCACTTCCAATTGCAGCAGGCATCAGGCACCAGGCAGTAGCAGTGGGTGCAGCCAAACACGGCTGCTGCTGCTTGTAAATTAGCATTACAATGGCCAGTTAACTGGGTCAACAACCATAACAATAACAATTGTACAATATGTTAACGGCAAAAGTTCTTAAACATCAGCATTCAAAGAAGACATTGAAGGGCTTGCAAGCACTTTTCTGGCTAACTTGCAAAGTTGTTTAACTCTTTGACAAGACAATATAGAAAGATGCACTCTGAGAGAATCTTCGATTGGCTTGAGAGTTGAGGAGTCAGAGAAATTGTTGATGTACGTTTACCA